CCCAGATGAAGGACGATGTCATCACGTAGCTCTGGGGTGGCCTTAGGGCTCGGTTCCCAGCCCAGCTGCAGCACCCCTGTGCCAGCGCAAAGAAATTCCTTCCCGGCGCTGCATCTCCTTCCACCGCGGAGCCGCTCGCTCGCCCTGCTGAGCCAGGAGGACTTCTTCGAGAGCTTCAATGGGTACGTGGCTGCTGGGGTGTGTGGGGGGGCTGAGCCCCGGTCTTGCCTTATATTTGTCCCCAAGGGAACGTGTCCCTTGTCTGGGATGGGTTTAGGTTCATGGTCTAGCACTGGTGCTCCCAGCACCAGGAGGCTCACAGTGTGCAGGCTGGTGCTGCTCCGCTGTAGCCAGGGCAAAGCTCATAGTCCTGGGTCTCCGCGGTGTCCTGCTGTCCGCACTGTCGTGGCTGAGGCCAGGCAGTGCTGCGCATCCCAAAAGCCACCAACTCACGCCTGTGTCCCTGCTGCTCTGCCAGGAGCTTCAGCGACGTGAGCAACGTTCTGGGGGCTGATCTGTTGGACTGCAACTACTCCATCCCCGACCCGCAGCTGGTCCGGAGGATCGTGTCCCAGGTGGAGTTCTACCTCTCCGACGAGAACCTGGCCAAGGATGCTTTTCTCCTGAAACATGTCCAGAAGAACAAAATGGGCTTTGTCAGCATCAAACTGCTGACGTCCTTCAAGAAGGTAGGCAGCCCATGGCGCCAGCCAGGTGGGGTGGGAAGTGGCCTTCACGTGGAGGGTGTCTGGGTGTGCTCTGGCTGTCTCTGGTGGGGTGTACGGGGAGGTCCAGGCTCTGCTCAGGCTGTCTGTGTCCCGGTGCAGAGCCAGGCTCTGCTCTTTGCCTTCAATGTGCTTTAGCTGTTCTCCAACTAGGGAGGGTGGCTGGGGAAGCAGCGAACAGTCCGCAAACCACCCCCAGGGCTGGATTCACCTCTTCTGCCCGTGGTTCCCCTGGGCTGCTTTGGGCGAGATCATCCTTTAACCAAAAAACTGCAGGGAAGCGCCAGTGGTGTGATGTACAGGGAAGCTGTTGCTTGTTGCCACGGTCCAGGGGGCACTGGGGACCTTCTCCTGCAGACCCGAAGATGCTCACGTGAAAGGGGGATGCTGCCTTGCCCTAACTTCAGGTTGATGGGGTTGCAGCCTGCCTGGACGGTGGGTTTAGGGTGGTCCCTGCTTGGAGAGACTCACAGGGACACAGTGACCCCCTCTCTCCCACAGGTGAAATACCTGACACGCGACTGGCGGCTCACGCTCTACGCCCTGCGGTTCTCGGAGCTGCTGGAGGTGAACGAGGAGGGCACCAAAGTGAGGCGGCGGGTCCCCGTCCCCGAGTCCCTGCTGAGCATCCCCCCCAGCAAACTGCTGCTGGCCTGGGAGCTCCTGCCCCAGGAGCAGGACGTGCTGCCACCGCTCCAGAAGAACTTCCTTGAGACCATCACGAGGATGTTCAGCCCCTTTGGTGCCATCGCCTCCATCCGCATCCTGCGGCCGGGCCGCAAGCTGCCCTCGGATGTGCGGAAATACACATCGCGGTTCCCCGAGCTGCTGAGCAAGTGCTGCGCGCTGGTGGAGTATGAGAGCCTGGAGAGTGCCCGCAGAGCCTTTGAGGACCTCGGCCACCAAAACCACCCAGGCGGCGAAAGCATCAGGGTGGTCCGGCTCTGCGGGAAGGGCTCCAAGAAGAAAGCTGGGGCCGAGAGGGAGGCGGCGGAGGAGCTGGTGGACCAGCCAGGTTGGAAGGTGCAGGCGGCGGCCACGACCTTCCCCTACGGCCTCGGGGACTCCCTGCTCTGCAGCTCCCCGGAGGCG